GCATCTGGAGTATTGTGTCCAGTTCTGGGCCCCTCAGTTCAAGAAGGACAGGGAACTGCTTGAAAGAGTCCAGCGCAGAGCTACTAAGATGATTAAGGGAGTGGAACATCTCCCTTATGAGGAAAGGTTGAGGGAGCTGGGTCTCTTTAGCTTGGAGAAAAGGAGATTGAGGGGTGACTTGATCAATGTTTACAAATATGTAAGGAGTGAGTGTCAGGGAGATGGAGTTTGGCTTTTCTGAGTGATGACCAGTGATAGGACAAGGGGTAATGGGTGTAAATTGGAGCATAGAAGGTTCAAGGTGAATATCTGAAAATTTTTTTTTTACTGTGAGAGTGAGAGAGCCCTGGAACAGACTGCCCAGGGAGGTTGTGGAGTCTCCTTCACTGGAGACATTCAAAACCCACCTGGATGCGTTCCTGTGTGATGTACTCTAGGTGACTCTGCTCTGGCAGGGGGGGTGGACTAGAAGATCTTTCGAGGTCCCTTCCAACCCCTAGGATTCTATGATTCTATGATATACCCTGATGCCATTCATGTGTCCTTATGTCAGGGCCTGCTGCCCCGCGCTGGCAGCGGCTCCGCAGGTGCCCGCGCCGCTGGGAGAGGCGGGAGCCGCCTGCGGTCCTGCCAGGCTCCTCCAGAAGGGAGAGAAGAGTAGGACTGTGACAGACCCCACGTAAACGGTCCTCATGCAACATGTGATGAGGTTGTCACTAGTAAAATAACAAAAGCAAAGATAAAAATAATCTACCTGAAGATGAGGCAAATTTTAGATAGTGTATAAATAATGTAAAATATTTAAGGAAGTCTGTGTTATTTGGTTGGAAAAAAATAACTTACAAAACATGTGATGTATGTATAGTAAACATAAACACACACAAATGGCAGTAACGCTTCATTATGGCTGGGATTTTACGAAGTCCATTGTTAGTTTACCACCAGAACCTCTGCAGAACAGCCAAGAAACTGTTCACTGCTTTTACATTTATGAAATTCCTCTAAACTGTTTCTGCTTTCTTCTGTTAAGTCACCAGTTTTATTTTTGCAATAATTTTCCTGGTTTATTGTTTTGGGTTTTTTTACATAAAAACAGAACAAAAACTACTTCAAATCACCCTTACAGCACCAAACTTGAATTTGCGTTCAATCTACCTACATCTAAGTTAAGCTGTTGTGCCAGAAAGGTATACTTACCAAAATATATAGTACAACCCTTCTGCTCGTGCCTCCCTCCACCTCTTAAATACCTGAGGGTGGAAAAACTAAGGAAAATGCAGTTTTTTGTTTGGATCAAGCTTCCCTGTTACCTTCCACACCACACTGGCAGACAGGCAAATGTGCTAGGCATAAAAAAGCAGGCAGAACAGATGCAGGCAGCTTCTTCACTGTGCAGTGGACACAGTTGGTAGTCATACCAATCTCTCTCCAGCCTTATATAAACTTTCCCATGAGTCTCTTCTCAAACATTATCTTATTTCCACCAAACAGCAAAACTCAAGGAACTACTCATATCCTGGTTATTCAAGGTACTACATAAACTCCTAACTACTAGAGTAATGATCACAATCACTACAGTGATTAATGTTAGTCTTTGCCAATAATTTTCAGAAACAACAAATTAATTTAAGTAATTTAACAAGGCTATCTACACTTTGCCCAATCTAAGCCACACTGAAGAAGACAAGTAAAAATGTCTAAGCAGGAAAGAAGTACCGGGGTTTTTTTCCCATCCTGCTACTGACTGAAAGTGGAACAGAATTTCTACAAGTTTATTTCTACAAAAAGGTGACACTGAAACACAGGTCTGGAAAAATCAGCATGATGAAGACACAAAGGATAAAAGACCAAAGAGAAGCACAGGATTTAAGGATAGCAATGTGGTAGGCTGATGATATATTACAGGAAGTTAAGTTAGATTACATTTTAAATACTGAGAATGCCTTTTCAGGTTAAATGGAAAACACTAAACTGAAAAAAAGCTCCTAACAGAAAAAACAGGCAGTAAAAAAGTGAGTGGGACTATGTCAAGGATTTGTTTGGCTATAATTCATAGGAAACTGTCACAGGTTTCAGTACTGATGACATAGAAAAAGCCAGAGACACAGAGACAATAAAAGTCTATTTGTCACGTTTAACAGCAAGCTTGTATGATGGTCATTCTCAAAGGACTGATCTCACTCCTTTGCCTGCTCTGTAGTTCATCTCATTTTAACAGATTTTCAAAAGCGTATGACAGAAAACACTTTATAACACACTAGAGTCCAACAGCTGAAACAGAAATGCAAGTTTCAGTCTGCCCTCATACTCTGAAATGGCATAAATTATTTCAGTTTAAACAGTTAAAAACTGCTTCCGATGATATTTTAAAAATCTTACATACAAAGCTTGATAGTAAAAACTTTTATTAGGTCATTCACACATTCAGTACTAACTGCCCTTCTGTAGAGTGGTACAACAGAAAGAAAAAAGAAGAAAAGCAGGGGTCAATGAAAAAGATTGTGTTAAATGAATCTAAGGAACCAGAACCCAGGGAAAACACTGGATGTAAAGACCGAGGTAGTTCTCACGTATGATGAATGCAAATTTGAAAGGCACAGCAAATACATTAGGCAACACTTCATCCACGAGACACGGGAAGCAAGGGGCACAGAAGCAGCAGAAGGAAGCAGTATCACTGCTGTATTTATGGCCAAATTCTTACATGTTACACAGGTTGTTTGTTTCTAAGGCAACAAACTGGAGAAATTACTCACCACAGCTGCACGGGCCCTACCTTCGATTTAGCAAAGAATCTGCTTTTCAGTAAAATTTCAACTGCTGCTCTTCAACCTGTAGAGGAAATTAACCCTCTTTATTAAGGGTCAATACTTGCCCTTTTCCTACCAAGAACAAGCTCCGTGCAGCTCAATGCCTTGTGTTCTTCCCACCCCTTCCCCGCAGCTCTACCCGACTGAAAACAGCCCCCAGGGGAACACAGGAAGCAGTTCCCGGCATTAGGTAACGGGGCTGCTCTGAGCCCGGGAAGG